AAATTTCAAGGATATCAGGGAAGGTCAGCTAATTAGCTAAATCAGTAAAAAAAGAAGGGGAAAAAAAGATACAGTAATGGGTTAATGATCATCCCTTCCTCTCACACTTCTTTCCGTCCCCATAAAGGGACCCTAGATCATGTGAACGTGGACAGCGAGAAGATGAGCAGCGAGGAGCGGGAGGATTTCTGGCAGAACCTGAAGGAGGAGTGGGAGAAGATGGCCCGTGAGGATGACTTGGAGGAACACCCTTGGCTCTCGGAATTCAATTCATCCTCACTTGAACCTTTTAAGGTTGGAGTGAAGCTTTTTTTTGGTGTGTGTGTGTGTATGCGCGTGTGTGTGTGTGTGTGTGTGTGTGTGTGTGTGTGTGTGTGTGTGTGTGTGTGTGTGTGTGTGTGCATGCATGCTTTTTGCTTTCATAATTTCTTTACTATTGAGAATTGAGAATGTGACGAAATGCTAAGTGATTTTAAACTGTGGTACTTATTTTTATTATAAAGTAATCCCCTTGCCTCTTATAAAAACCTTTCTCCTAAAGAGGCATAGCCAGCATTCCCAAATCCACCTCTGATTTTTTTGGTAACTTGCAGGATTACAAATTTGAGGAGGACAACCCCCTGAAGGACCACCCGGACCCCTTGACAGAGGGCAAAAAGTGCCTGGAGGCGGGAGACCTTCCCTCAGCTGTGCTCCTCTTTGAGGCTGCCGCACAGCAGAATCCACAGAATCCTGAAACATGGCTGCTGCTCGGGGCTGCCCATGCTGAGAATGAGCAGGACCCTGCTGCAATATCAGCACTTAGGAGGTTAGTCAAGGAAGAGGAAGGATGGACAGAGGACAAAACAGCATGTCTCTCATATTGATAATCTCAAATATATATATTAATCAATAAAAAGTAAAAGTTTAAGGATTGCACAAAAACATTTAAGTAGGCAAGAGTTAGGCAAGAAGGGTAGGATGTGCAGCTGAGAGATAAGATGGGGGTGCAAGATGAAACAAGGCTTACTTTGTCTTGCTGGCGAGAGGTGGAACATAATGGAGTGCCAGTAATCAACCTAGTAGATTGGATGGAATGGGTAGAGTTGGAGGGATATTGTTGTCTTGGAGCAAATTGTTTAGATTTGTCCTTCCATGTTCCTGATAGCTTTTCCTGTTAACTTTGGTTTTTCATTATTGTTTTCTCTCTCTCTCTCTCTCTCTCTCTCTCTCTCTCTCTCTCTCTCTCTCTCTCTTCTCTCTCTCTCTCCTCTCTCTCTCCTCTCTCTCTCTCTCTCTCTCTCTCTCTCTCTCTATCTCTATCTATCTATCTTCTTCTCTCTCTCTCCTCTTTCTTTCTCTTTCTCTTTCTCTTCTCTTTTCTCTTTTTTGTCTTTCTCTCTCTCTCCTTTCTTTTCTCTCTTTCCTCTTTCTTCTCTTTCTCTCTCTCTCTCTGTCTCTCTCTCTTCTCTCTCTCTTCTCTCTCTCTCTTCTCTCTCTCTCTCTCTCTCTCTCCTCTCTCTCTTCTCTCTCCTCTCTCCTCTCTCTCTCCTCTCTCTCCTCTTCTCTCTCTCTCTCATCTCTCTCTCTCTTCTCTCTCTCTCTCTCATCTCTCTCTCTCTCTTCTCTCTCTCTCTCATCCTCTCTCTCTCATCTTCTCTCTCTCTCTCTCTCTCTCTCTCTCTCTCTCTCTCTCTCTCTCTCTCTCTCTCTCTCTCTCTCTCTCTCTCTCTCTTCTCTCTTTCTCTCTCTCTCTCTCTCTCTCTCTCCTTTCTCTCTTTCTCTCTCTCTCTCCTCTCTCTCTTTCCTCTCTTTCTCTCTCTCTCTCTCCTCTCCTTTCCTCTCTTTCTCCCTCCCTTCCCTCCCCCTCTCCCTCCCCTTCTTCCCATCCCCTCCCTCCCACTATCCCTACCCCATCCCCTCTTTTTCTTCTTTTTTACCCATATTAATATAAACTTTCCTTTCTCTTTCTCTTTTGACAGATGTGTAGAACTTGACCAAAATAACAGTGTGGCTTGGATGGCTCTAGCGACATCGTATACTAATGAGTCTTACCAGACACTGGCTTGTAATGCACTCAAGGTAAAAAGTGTATCATTATCCAGAGGAATTATTTTCAGAGATTAAGAAATAGATGAAAATTGAAAAATATGTAAAATCTTTTTTTTTTGCCTAATGTAAGACCCTGATTTTACAGTAATGAATGTAGGTTTCCAGATTGTGGAAGAGAAACTCCTGTTGGCCAGTAAACACAGATATAAAATATTTCTCTCTCTAATTACTTTCTCCTCTTTTTAGGAGTGGATCCGCACCAATCCTGAGTATGCCCAGTTAGTCCCAAAAGGTGACACATCACAAAGGAAGTCAAAGTTAATGACATCAACTCTTGCACCAAGGTAAGTGATAGATTAAATAAGCTACCTAATTCTCTCTTCCTTTTATAAGTTGTTTGATCAAATCAGATTTCATCCCAAAAAATGTAGAATTTCTTTGAGTATCATTTAAAATTGACTGCTTAAAAAAAGACATTTATTCATTGAGATTAAGTGTTTATGCATTGATACATTGAGGATAATGTGTCTCTGTCTTTCTTATTATCTAGCTGTCCTGTCTTCTCTCCCTTACTCCAGAGCACTGATCCAGGAGGTGCAAGACCTCTATCTGGCTGCTGCCAATCAGCGGCCAAGTGAGAACATCGATGCGGACGTGCAGTGTGGCCTTGGTGTACTCTTTAACCTGACAGGCGAGTACGACAAGGCCCTCGACTGCTTCCAGGCAGCCTTGAGCGTCCGGCCGAAGGTAAGGGATCCAACACCCCCAAACCCCTACCCTACACTGACTGCCTAATTTTTGAACGGCTCCTCACACAGACTCTCTCTACACTTCTTGATGTTTCTGCTATTTACTAATTGGGATTTATATTATATATATATTTGTTTTACCATGTATTCCCTTCATTTGAATAGTTTTTTTGTGAATTTTAATGTATATGCTTTGTTGTTATTCTTCTCTAAAAAAATTATATGGTGAAATGTCTAGAGCATGATTGAGTGATTCATATATATCTAAGAATAGATTTTATGAAAAGAAATCACTATTCGGAGTTGAGAAAAGAAAGAGAAGGAAAACAAATACATGAATTTATTAACAGAAGAAAGCGAAAGAAGGAATGGAAGCAAAACCACTAATTTCATTTCCAAACAGGATGCTAAGTTATGGAACAAGATTGGAGCCACACTTGCCAATAGTGAACGCTCCGAGGAAGCAATAGAAGCTTACCGTAATGCTCTTGAAATTTCTCCTGGCTTTATAAGGTGCCGCTACAATCTGGGGATTTCATGCATCAATCTCGGTGCTCACAGGTTAGCCACTTAGTCTTAGACCTATGAAGCCTGCTGTGCAAGTTCACTAGACCTAAAAGGAACAGAATTCAGTATGACAGATGTAGGACAGGTATGCCTTGAGAATGAACAAAGTCCACGTCTGCTTAAGAATTACATAGTTTTGAAGATGTGAAATCTAAAGTTAATTGTTTATCTTGCTGTGTGGATCTGTTTATTTTCATTCATGCCTTTTCTATAGACATAGGGATTCCTAGCAAGTGAGTGGAGACTTCAGTGCTCAGAGTTTCCCAACTAAATGCTGCTTGCATCTTCATTTTCCCTGTTCTTTCCGATATGTTATTGAATTAGGAAGTGACAGGTGCTTTTGAAAGATTGTGACATACAATCAGAGGAGTAGTAATAAAAAAGATACAGATAATTTTCTCCATTACGAAAGGGAATTCTAATTCCTCTCCTTCATATTCTTCAACTTCTATTTCTACTACAGTTCGAGGATATCTTATCTGCCAAAGACTGAGGCTTTTTTTAAGGTATTTTAGAAGGATGGACTGGTTGGGAAACCCTTTGTGTTGTAGTCATCCCCATGCTCTCTGTGGTATTCTTATGGTATGCCTTTTTTCACATGAAATGCAAGGAGCCTTGTTTCAAAGGCCTTAATATCCTCTACTAAAAGATCATATTATTGGTTGCTTTTCAACTGGTCTGTGATTGCATTTGCCAACTCTTGACTATAGACTTTGCCAACAAGGCTTCTTGCATTGCCATAGATATAAAGATTTTTTTCCCTTAAAGACCAGAAACATTGCACTAATTGACTTCAGGATGGACAGAATTCTTCTTCAGAGGCCATTACTGTTTTTCTTCCATTCAAATTGTCTCTCAACCCTGCATCATCCTTCACTAATCAAGGCACAGTCACTTGAAGGAAGTCTCACAGTGCTTTCCATTGCTGTTACCTTTGCTCACAGTCTAGCCCTGTCTTGCACCAGTCCAGAAGGCAGAACCAAACCTGCTTCCTCTGTGTACCTGTGTGTATATATTAGTATATTTACACACAAATATGGTTTATACACACACACACACACACACACACACACACACACATACATATAAGTATGTAGATATATGATTCTCAATATTCTTTTTCATGAACACATCAATTTCAAAAACTTATAGGCTTATTTGAATCCTGCCATAAGGACTTGCAATTTTGCAATGCCTGACCTGCCCCTATTCCTCCTGATGAAAGGCTCATCCCCAGACAATCACATCCCAAATTTGAAACTTTATTTGTGCGACAGTTTGGCAGAAGGCAGGAGCATCCTCAGCTGACCACATGGCCTGGCCTGCTCACCATCCCATATTAACCCAGTGCCATTTTGGGCCATGTTTTCCCCCATAGAGAGGCCATGGAGCACTTCCTGGAGGCCCTGAACATGCAGGCAGCTGGTCGAGGGCCCGGAGGGGAGGGCTCCACGCGAGCTGTGTCTGACAATATCTGGTCCACCCTGAGGGTCTGTCTGTCGTCCCTAGGAGCAACACACCTCATGGATGCTGTTAGTAAGAGGTGGGTATTGGATAAGAAATTCAAGTGTATTAACTTGAAATATGCAGTATACAAAAAATGAATCTAATAGAAAGTCAAAGCTAGAGAAAATGGTCCCCTGCAAATGCTTTCCCTTGCATGGTTCCTCAAAGTTTTTTGTTGTAATTGTTCTTTTCATTATTTTGCTTTATTATTATCATTATTGTGGAATCTTATTTATTTTCATAATTATGATAGTTGCTATTATCATTACAGGAGAATAACACTTGCTTGACATTCATTCACAGATATATAGTGATGCATGAAGTAACCTTTCATCTCATTTCTCAACTCCACAGAGACTTAACTCGACTGAATGCCGAATACAACATGGGCACGTCGAGCTGACTCTCCTCCCCCTACTCCCAGTCCCACCCCTCCCTCCCACCTTCCACCATAAGCATCCGCAAAGCCTTCCCACCGCTGCTTACCCCCACCACTACCACCTCTGCCTCCCCTCCCACAAGGACAACAGAGTCGTTCCTGTGCAGTGTCCACGATAATTTGCCCTGTGAGTGCCTTCACCCACCCAGGCTGATGTCATTGGTGCCTCACTCTGACAGACGACGAGAAAGCTAATGTGAAGTCATTAAGGCTCTTAGCTGCTGTTGTCCATTTTATGGTTGTGAGTGCTCTTTCACTCAGCTTGTTGGCTGGCTGAGTGGGTCTCAGGTCTCAGCACAGAGAGGGAGACCTGGAGATCTTCAGGGATGAGAGAGAGAGAGAGAGAGAGAGAGAGAGAGAGAGAGAGAGAGAGAGAGAGAGAGAGAGCAAGCAAGCAAGCAAGCAAGCAAGCAAGCAAGCAAGCAAGCAAGCAAGCAAGCAAGCAAGCAAGCAAGCAAGCAAGCAAGCAAGCAAGAGAGAGAGAGAGAGAGAGAGGGAATTGAAAGGATATGAGACACTTTGGTATGTAATTTCTTGATATTATTTCTCCTTCTCAGTGTATATCCATTTTAGTATTTTGCCTCTTGTGTTTATGATTTTTTCTGTTAAGATGGATATATATATATATATATATATATATATATATATATATATATATATATATATATATATATATATATATATATATAATACATATTCATCTATACCCATGCATGCAGAGTTGGGCTAGCAGTGTTTTTAGAGAACCAGAGGTAGTAGAACTGTTACTACACAGTAGTTGAATACTTCCATGATGTATAAGCTATAACACAGCTATTGACAAAATCACACATAACTAATGATATCAGATTTAAATAGAAACATAATTATTTGTTTAATTTACTCAGTATTCTTATAATTACCAGAAGTAAAACCAAAATCCCCCCCTTTTATTTTTAACATCAAAGTGTTCTTTAAAATTAACAGCCATCAAGAATACTCTGGGGAAAATGTCAGTTTAAATTTTGAGTTCAACAGGCTAAATGGGAGTGGAGCTACCTGGTTATATGTACCTGGAAAGAATGCAATATGTTAAAAGATTACAGGTAATGTTTGTAGTGGTACTGTTATCAGAAAATATTTACTATACTATTGATAGTACTTAGTTTTTGGTGTTTTACTAGGTACTACCCAACTCAACATGTCTGTAACTATCTACATATATATATGTACGTGTATATGCACACACGCACACACACACACACACACACACACACACACACACACACCACACACACACACACACACACACACACACACACACACACACACACACACACACATATATATATATATATATATATATATATATATATATATATATATATATATATATATATATATATATAATATATATATATATATTATATATATATATATATATATATATATATATATATATAATATATATATATATATATATATATATATATATATATATATATATATATATATATATATATATATAATATATATATATATATATATTTATATATATGTGTGTGTGTGTGTGTATATATATATACACACACACACACACACACACACACACACACACACACACACACACACACACACACACACACCACACACACACACACACACATACACAACACACACGCATACACACACACGAACATGAGCACACACAATCACTTCCAGATATAGTTATTCATATATCACAATGAAAAACAGTTGCATTATTGTTTTTTTCTGTTATTTTTGTTAATACTATCCCATCTCAGTGTGTTGTTGTATTGTATTGACACCTACTCTGATTTTATGTATGTGTGTCTACATATATATATATATATATATATATATATATATATATATATATATTATATATATATATATATATATATATATATATATATATATATATATATATATATATATATATATATGTATATGTATATTTATATATGTATATATGTATGTATATTTATTATATATGTATATATATGTATGATATATATATGATATACTATATACATATATATGTACATACATATATATATATATATATATATATATATATATATATATATATATATATATATATATAATATATATATATATATATATTTATCTTTATACATGCATACAGGGTCAGTGTAAGGAAGTACACTTATTGCTTTCTTATGTCTTGATAATTTTACCAGTTGGTTTTGAGCCAGTCTGTAGTTTTCAAGATTTTTTTTTTTTTTTTTTTTTTTTTTACAGTTGCTGTATTATCATTATTATTATCCTGTTATGATCATCATTGTAATACTTTATTGGGTTATTATTTTCATCAGTTTCCATCTAACTATATCTGTGATCTGCGTGTATTTTCAACGGGATCTTTAGTTAACTCCTTTTATTACATTGCCAGATTCAACCGAAGGACTATACTTAAAGTGCATTCACTTATTAGCTTCAGTTGTTAGTGTAGTCTTTATGTACTCTTTATCTTCAATTATTTGTTGCCTTGTTCTCACTTTCTCACTCCTGTTCGTGCTTTCCCTTGTTCTCACTCTTTTGCCTTTCTTCGTTTGTAATTTTTTCAGGTTAGAAGCAACGGAGTTAGATTTAGGATTTTATTTTTGATGATGAAGTAACAGAAATTAAGTTAAAAAAAAAAGGGGGGGGGGAGGATGTAGATAAAAAAAAAGGAAAACATAAAAGTCTCTTTCATATCTTTCACGTCTGCAGATTGTTCAATGAGTATTTAGAGGAAGAAAGAGATTAAGATGATGTTTATACTTGTGTACCTTTTGTGTGTGTGTGTGTGTGTGTGTGTGTGTGTTTTAATGTGAAGTTTTTGGTATATATAATTTTTTCATTCTCTCTAACTCAACCATCCTTCCATCTCCTCTCCCACATCTCTGGCACTGTCTTCCTTTCAATTATTAAAACTTTTCTCTCTTTAGTGTAAGCAGAGGACGGTGGCGTGTGTGTTTGCAAAACAATAATCAAAATAGGAGATAGGTGCCGTAGTTAGTCTTATACTTTTATTAATGAATATTCTCTTCAGTGTCAACTGTTAATAGATTCAAGAGAAAAAGAAAGAAAAAAAGAAAAAAAACTCTGTTTTAAGAGGTTTATTATTAAGTAAATGTGTAAGTGTAAATAGCAAGTTTTTAAGATATCAGTATATAAGTACATACACGTGTATGTGTGTGTGTGTGTGTGTAATGTATGCATTTGAAAGGCAAAACCACATTGAAGTAATCATGGGAGCCTCCAGGGTATTTTTAGGAGTATCCAGGTAGTTCTGTGGGAGCCACCAGAGGTTCTGTAGGAGCCAGCCGTTGTTCTTTAGAACTAGGTATTCTTTGGGTGCTACTAAATGTTCCCAACACCCAGATATTTTGTGAGAGCCACTAGCTATTCCATAGAGCTAAATTATCTGTGGAACAATCTAGGTGTTTTTTGTAAGCCACCAGTTGTTCCTAAGAGCCAGCTACTATTATACTTTGGGATCTGCCATTGGTTTGGTAGAGCCATGTGATGTGGAAGCAGGTTCTCCTTGGAGCCAAATGTTCCTTTGAGAGCCACCAGGTTTTGCTTAGAGCCAAATGCTGTATTGGAGCCACCAGGAGTTTGTCAGAGCCAGAAGTTTTGAAGAGCCACCAGTTGCTTGCGAGCAGTTGGTTCTGTCTCTGTGTTGAGCAAAAGTGGCTTTGTGGGAAATGGGATCCTTTGTCTTTCTTTTCTTTTAACATATAAGATAATGACTTGATGAATTGCCTTTCTTGTTCTTAAAGTTTTGATTTTTCTCCAGGCATGTTTTTTGTAACATCTCTTATCTGTGCATATATGGGAAACAGAGAGGTGAGGCAGCATTTGCGATGTAGAGTGTCTTTACATGTTTTACTAATTTTCTAGGAAATATTGTTTAAAAAAAGAATTATTTATTATATACACACTTACATGTGTGTGTATATATATATATATATATATATATATATATATATATATATATATATATATATATATATATTATATATATTATATATGTATATGTATATGTATATGTATATGCATGCATGCAGCACACACACGCACACACACACACACACACACACACACACACACACACACACACACACACACACACACACACACACACCACACACACACACACACACACACACACACACACCACACACACACATGCACACACACACATGCACACACACACACATATATATAATATATATATATGTATATAATGTATGTATATGTATTCATGTTTAATTATTTATACATACGTCTGTATATCCACACTGAACCCTCTTGTAATGCATGTAACTGTTTATACACCCCAATATATTTCCCCTAACCAAGCATAATTAACAGTATTCCAAGTAACAAGGAGAATATAAAACAGCAAAATAAATGCCAAATGTAATGAAAAGCATAATATATTGTCACAATTACTATAAGCTGAGTGGAGGAATGGGTGGGTTGACATGTTTTTGGATGGCAACCTGCTTATTCGGAGAGCCCTTTTTTTTTGGTGACGATCATGGATGAAGACATTGTAGCCTGATCCATTTGCCCGTTTTCTGGCTGTCATTCGCTCTATGTTGCTGGGAGCATCATTGGTCTTTTAACTCCTAAAAAATAGCCCATTGCCAGTAAAACGCATTCACGTGTGCAAGTCCTTTCAGCCTGTCAAAAACATGGTGCTCCTTCAGTAATCCAGTCACAGATTAATGATGGCCAATAATGTAACCTTTAAGAACTTGTATAATGATAATGCCAAGTGCACGTCACTTGTCAGTTCAAGACAAATGATGCACCAAATTTTGTGTGCATGTTAGGAGAAGGATGTTAACTTTCAAGGTATACATATATATGCATAGATATACTTAAATATATATACATATATATACACATACATACATATATTTATATACATACACACATCCATGCATACATACATACATACATATATACGTATGTACATATAAATGTATACATAAACACACACACACACATATGTTTGTGTGTGTGTTTACCTTTATACTTATATACATTCACACACAAACACATACATATATTTATGTATGTGAACTGTTGTCCTTGCTTTTATTTTCATTTTTAGTGCAATATCTTGTTTCAAAGAGATCTTCCAATTTACTTTTAGTTGTGTTGTTCTTCATTGTGATTATATATACTATATTATTTCTTTGATTTTTTCCACATCCCCTTCCTCTCTCTCTCTCTCTCTCTCTCTCTCTCTCTCTCTCTCTCTCTCTCTCTCTCTCTCTCTCTCTCTCTCTCTCTCTCTCTCTCTCTCTCTCTCTCATTTGTGCTTTTGACATTATATTTA